TCCGAGTTCTGAGGAGGGGAATGGGATTTGCACCGAGCTCTCCAATGAGCTTGCGGGGGTTGGAGGGAAGGGAAGTTTGGGGGGGGGCTCTCCATCGCAAGTGGCCCGTGCTTTGACCATGGCATCCAAAAAATAGCCCGCGCACGAGCCCCTGGCAGGAAGCCCCGCTGCATAAGTCTGAGGTTCTCCAAACCCCTCTTGGCGGGGCCGAGGAAGGTGAGAGAAAGCAGGAGGAGGAGGAGGAGGAGGAGGAAAGGGAGGAGGAGGAGGAGAGGGAGGATGAGGACGACGAGGTAAAGCAGCAGAATGAGGAGGGAGAGGGGGAGAGCGGAGGGAAATCAGAAGAAGGAGGAGCAGGATGAGTAGGAAGAGGAGGAGTAGGTGGAGGAGGGGGAGAAGGAGGAGGAGGAGGAGGAGGCGAAGCAGGAGAAGGATGAGGAGGAGGAAGAGGAGGAGGAGGAGGAGGAGGAGGAGGAGGAGGAGGAGGAGGAGGAGGAGGAGGAGGAGGAGTGGGAGAGTGGAGGGAAGAGCAGAAGGAAGAGGATGCTGCTTAGTCCATGGCGGCGAGCCCGGCCGAGCCTGGGGGGAGACGCCTTCGTCCACCGGGGGCTTCAGCGTCGCGCGCACCTCCTTGAACAGCTGACGCAATGCGACCTCTGGGCCCGTCTGGCGGCGACGACGACGACGACGACGACGACGACGACGACGACGGAGGTCTTCGGACGATTCTAGAATTTCAATGGATCCGGCAGCCCCCCGACGTCTCCAGGGGCTTGCGGGACCGCCAGAAGAGAAGTTGTTCCAGCAATTTCCGTGCTCTCGTGAAGAAGGGGGTTCGGGGCGCACCCGCGCCACCCCCGCTCAGGCCTGGAGGTTCTTGTGTTCCATGCAACTGGGCTTCGGGTGTTCGGTGTATTTTTTCTCTTGGGGAGGAGGAGGAGGAGGAGGAGGAGGAGGAGGAGGAGGAGGAGGAGGAGGAGGAGGAGGAGGAGGGGGAGGTCCAGTGTTGGAATAAACCCTGCCTCCAAACTCCCTCTTCACAGGCCCCATACACGGATTCATTTTCACTGATGAAGGAGGTGCGTCATTGAAACACACTCGCTGGACGGTCCTGGAGCGTGTCAAAACACCAGCCTCGGAACTGCAACGCAACTGATCAACCAGACTGTTGCGTCCTGGCGATCCTGACTCGTGCCAGAACGCCATGCCTGGTACTTTAGCACCACGAATCAACGTAACCATTGCGCCCTAATAACCCTGAGCCATTCCCAATCACATTTTCTTGTAAGTTAGCCATGGGAACCCGTGAAACTCTTGCAAATGTTGAAAACAAATGTGCGCGGTGCTGAGGCGAGAGCCACGTTGTGAAAAGGAACCGCTTTCAATCCATGAAACTCTTGCAGTTTGTTCAAGCGAACCCGAGAGCCACAGATTGAAAAGAAACCGCCCTCACTCAGCGAAGCTCTTGCAATGTTTGAGACGAATGTGCGCGGCGCTAGAGCGAAAATCGCAATTTGAGAACGACCCGCCATCAATCTGTGAACATATTACACTTTTTCAGACGAGTGTGCACGGCGCTAAAAACATATGTTGAAAACGACCCGCCCTCAATCCGTGTGTCTCTTACAATTTGTTTGACGAATGTGCGCTGCGCTAAAGCGAGGCACCAGATTTTGAAAACGGCCCGTCCTCCATCCGCGAAGCTATTGCCAATTTTAAGAGCGAGTGCGCGCGGCGCTAAGGCGAGGAATCGCATGTTGAAAACGACGCGCCCTCAATCTGCGAATCTGTTGCCAATGTTTAAATCGAACAGGCGCGGCGTAAATCCGAGTTGCCACGTCTTGAACACCGCCCGCCCTCCATCCGCGAAGCTGTTGGCATTTTTTCAAAGCTTCAAGAGCATGAGTGGCAAAGACGACTCAGGGGAAACGCCTGGCCCGCCCACTCGACCATCGTCGGGGTGAGAGGGGGAGGGGTTAATCTGCAAGGGAAAAATGGAGGAAGAGGTCGTCGCTGCGCCGCCGGCGTCGCCAGAAGTTCGCCAGCGTTGAAATTAGGGGGCCCGATCCTCCCGCGATCGATTGCGGCCGCTGGGTGCCGCTTCGGCCCATCGACCCAATGGGTAGGAGTAGGAGGATTAGAGGGAGGAGGAAGAGGAGGAGGAGGAGGAGGAAGACCAGTGCAAACCCAAGATCCGTCGACGATATTCCAATAAATCCTCCCCCCAGGTCCCCTCGCCATCAGCCCCTTGAACTGCGCCAGGACACCACGCATGGGACTTCACCACCGCGAATCACCGTTACGTTTGCGCCTTGACGATCCTAAACTGTTCTAGAACACCATTCTTGGGACTTCATCACCGCGAATCAACGTAACTGATGCGCCCTCACAATCCGACATCGTGCAAAACATGTTTGTTGGTATGTTAGCCAATTGAATCCATCCACCTCCCATCCACAAAGCTGTTGCATATGTTCACCGAATGTGCGCGCGGCGCTAAGACGAGAACCATGTTTTGAAAAAACACCGTCCCCAATCCGTGAACTTCTTGCAACGTATTAAAACGAATGCGCGCGGCGATAAACAGAGACCCAGATGTTGACAACGGCCCGCCCTCAATCCGTGAAAACCCTGCAGCGTTTTGCCATTAATGCCCCGCGGCGCTAAGGTGAGAACCACATGTTGAAAACCACCTGCCCTCCATCCGTGAAACTCTTGCACGTTTTAAACGACTGCGCGCGGTGCTGAAGCGAGAACCACATCCGGAAAAAGGCCCGCCCTCCATCCGCGAAGTCCTTGGAAATTTCCAGTTTGGGGGTCGTAAGTGGTAAGGAAATCTTAGGTGAATCAACCGGCCCACCCTACCGATGCGCCCTGGGGCTCGACAGGGAGGGGTTATGTATAATGATAATAAATGGATGAGCAAGAGGAAGAGGAGGAGGAGGAAGAGGAGGAGGAGGGGCAGGAGGGGGAGGAGATGGATGAGGATATAGAGGAACTAGTTGAACGGTTTGACTAAGCACGGAGGGCGCGCAGGAAACAGGGGGGCTAGCCGAGGCCTCGGCGTGCCAACACAATTTGCAACTGCACTGGCACATCCTCCCGCCGCGGATACACGCCCTCATCGATGCGTGCGAGGTTCTGTCTGCCTTTGCGGGTGGTGGGCTCGCGCGCTGCCTCCAAGCGCCTGCCATCGAGCGTGGCGCGGTCGGTGCGAGGGGCGGGGGGGTGGGATATTCCGTGGAGTGGCCCGCTCCCCAGACGCACAGAAGAAGTAACTCTCTTTGTTGTTTGGCAACGGGGTCTCTCATCGAAGCTAACAATCCGCGGACGCTCTCACATTTCTCCCTCGCACCTCTCTCTTTCCTTCCACACGCCGGTCGGAAGAAGTAGGTAAAACATGAAGTAGGAAGGCGGATTAACTTGATTGGGTCCAGGCCCTCCCAGAGAACAACAAAACACAGCAAAAGCAGATCGATCCTTGAAGTAGGAAGGCGCTTGAAGTAGATTGGGATCTGGGGATCCAAAAATACCTACTTTCAACGACCGGCGTGTAGGTCCCTCTCTCTCTCTCTCGTCTCGACTTCGGCGGGTCCACGCAGCGTCCCCCCCCCTCCCCCCCTGGGGCATCCACCGCGCGTCGTCGTCGTCGTGCGGGCCCGCGCGGCACCTCCCCAACTGTAGCATCCGCAGCGCGTCGTCGTCGTCGTCGTCCGTCGTCGTCATAGTCCGTCGTCCGTCGTCCGTCGTCCGTCGCCCGTCGTCGTCATCGTCGTCGTCGTCGTCGTCGTCCGTCGTCCGTCGTCCGTCGTCCGTCGTAGGTCGTAGGTCGTAGGTCGTCGTCGTCGACTGCGGCGGACCCGCGCAGCAACCCCCCAATGGGGCATCCGCAGCACTTCTTTGTCGTCGTCGTCGGTGTCGGTGTCGTCGTCGTCGACTAGGCTCCATGATTTCGATGATTCTCTTGGCCACTGTTGCGTGGTCTCGATGAGAACCCGCGCAAGGTTCCTTTTCGACGAATTCGCAATACGGGTTCCTCTTTCCCCCTCTTACTCCCACAGCCCCCTCTCTCGCAGAAGCACTCGCATGATTAATTCGTCGAGGTGCTAAGCGATATCGCTCGGCGGCTCCCCCGGGGAAATCAATAAACTGATCATCCAGGCGAAAGGCTCACCTATTTGCAGCTGTAGGCAAAGCAGACGTGAGAGTCGTCTCCGGTGGCGTTTCCTATGAGGCCAAGAAGCGTGTGAGGGGTGTGCCGACACAGGGGCGGGGGGATGCATGTGGACCCTCCCGCTGGGGCCTTCGGTGGAGCCCCCCATGGGGCCACGAAGCGTGTGAGGGGTGTGCCGGAATTGGGCGGGAAGATGCATGTTGACCCTCCCACTGCGGCCTTCGATGGGGCCCCCCCTTGGGGCCACGAAACGTGTGAGAGGTGTGCCGACACGGTGCGGGAGGACGCCATGTGGACCCTCCCACTGGGGCCGTCGGTGGAGCCCCCATATGGGGCACCAGCTGTGTGATGGGTGTGCCGAAATTGGGCGGGGGGGCGCATCTGGACACTGTCACTCGGGCCTTCGGTGGAGCTCTCTCGATGGGGCACACGAAACGTGTGCGGGGTGTGTGTGTGTGTGTGTGTGTGTGTGTGTGTGTGTGTGTGTACCGAAGTGATTGCCGTGCGGAGGGCAGCGGCAGGGATGGGAGGAGGGAGGAGGCGGGCAGCGGGAGGGAAGGAGGGAAGGAAGGGCTGACGGAGATGCGGGGCAATGCCACTCCCAAGCGAAGACCCAACACCACAGGATGGTGGGGACTTCGGGTGCTACGGACAACGCCAAGGGGGGGCAACCGTTGCTTCCCTCGGTCGGGCACGGCCCGCCCTCCCAAGCCTCCTGGGCGCGCCGCCGCACAGGGCCAGCATGGGGGGAAACGGGACCCGAGGCGAACGGGCCCCCGGACGCTGGGGCCTTCACCCGGGCCGAGATGCTCATCCTGCACCGCTTCCTGGCAGGTCCCGGGGGCTCCGTGGAGGGCCCCGGGAGCCCGAAGAGGGCGGCAGAAACCTCGGGACCCTCAGGACCTCGTCCTAGCCCCGCCCGTCAGGAGGAGGAGGAGGAGGAGGAGGCGGATGAGGAGGAGCATCAGGATGAGGAGGATGATGATGATGAGGAGGAGGAGGAGGAGGATGAGGAGGAGCATCAAGATGAGGAGGAGGAGGAGGAGGAGGAGGAGCATCAAGATGAGGAGGAGGAGGAGGAGGAGGAAGGAGGAGGAGGAGGAGGAGGAAGGAGGAGGAGGCCACTCTCTCGCGCAGCCTGCATCCGAGGGCGGCCCGCAGGCGCCGGCGCGGTGGCTCAGGGGGCGACGAGAGCCCCCGAGGCCCACCTCGCGGAAGAGGCGCGGGGGGTCCAGCGCCCACGGGCGCCCTGCGCGCAGGCGCGCGCCCCTCCAGAGGAGAAGCCCGCCCGAGCGGCGGGGGATTCGTCGAGAGCAGGCCTACGTAGTGAGGATGGGCAACGAGCCCAGAGAGCCGACGTCGTGGTTTTGTTCCATGCAGGGCCCCCGGAAGTCTCGGCCCATTCCCCATGACCCGCTTTTCATCCCGAGTCGTTGTTTGACGGTCCCGGGGCCCGGCGAGGGCCCCTCGAGGCAGAAAAAGATGCAAAACCTGTTGTTTCCAATGCATTGGATCCCTGGGAGGGGCGCCCAACTTCGCGCTCTCGCGCGAGGCGCGAGGCGCAAAGTGCTTTGGCGCTTTCGCGCCGCCGCCCTGGGGGAGAAGAGGAGGATGAGGACTCGGAGCCGAAGCACGCAGCGCGAAGAACTTCGCGCCCTGGGGGGCGCCATTGGCAGCGTTGGGGTGGGGGGGAGGGGGCGGCTCAGGATGGAAACATCGAGCGTGAATCGGTGATGCATGGCCGACAGATCGGCGATGGGCTCCCGATAGCAAATCTGGCCAGAAAGGCTATCGGGCCCCTATCAGCGATGAATGGGCGATTGGGGGTCGATGTGTACTGAGATGAAAACAGCATCTGGCCAACACGCGTAGGTTTCCCTACTCCAATTCGGGGAAGCGCTCTTCCTTGCAGCGAGTGCCTGTGAGTGTGCTTCATTATCCAAAAGCAGGGGGGGCCCTATCTGCGGTCAGGGACTGTCGGTTGGTAGCGTCTCGCGGCGGCGACCCCGGCGGCACGCTGTGCCCTGCAAGCCGATAGCGTGTCGCCAAATTTCGCGGGGCGGGAGGCTCGGGTTTGGAGTCCCGAAACGGTGCGGTGACAGATCGTGCGGTGACCTCGAAGTCCCCCAAGACCTCACCGCACGGTCCGTCAACTCGGATGCCCCAGTCGCACGAGACGTCCTCGGAGAACGACCCGAGTCCCAAGACCGTGCGGTGACCCCGAATCCCCACCGACTCACCACACGGTGTAGTCACCACCCCGTTTGGGGGCCCCCGGTCAGGAAAAGCTCGGGACGTTGACGCGCGGGGGCCGGAAAGTGCTCAGCGTGTCGCGCTATCCCTGTCCGACTGCAAGGGAGCGCTGACTCTTTCAGTCAGCACCGGGGAGCGTGTTACCCTATCCACATGCAGGGGGGAGGGGCATATCCTTGCTCATGCCGCGCAGTCACACCCTCGTCCAGATTGGCCAAGCGCCGCATGGAATGCTTACTTACGTACGTTCCCCTCCGCGGCAACTGGCCAAGAGGGCGGCTGTCCGTGTTCCTGACGGCGATGCCTCCGAAACGGTGGCGTGGAGGGCGTCGGTCGTCGTCGTCGTCGTCGTCGTCGTCGTCGTCGTCGTCGTCGTGACGTCATTGTCGTCGGCGTCGTCGTCGTCGGCGTCGTCGTCGGCGTCGTCGTCTTCGTCGGCGTTGTCGTCGTGACGTCGTCGTCGTGACGTCGTCGTTGTCGTCGTCGTCGTCGTCGTCGTCATCTGCGTCGTCGTCGTCGTCGTTGTCGTCGTCGTCGTGACGTCATTGTCGTCGGCGTCGTCGTCGTCGGCGTCGTCGTCGGCGTCGTCGTCTTCGTCGGCGTCGTCGTCGTCGTCGTGACGTCATTGTCGGCGTCGTCGTCGTCGTCGGCGTCGTCGTCGGCGTCGTCGTCTTCGTCGGCGTCGTCGTCGTGACGTCGTCGTCGTGACGTCGTCGTTGTCGTCGTCGTAGTCGTCGTCATCTGCGTCGTCGTCGTCGTCGTCGTCGTCGTCGTCGTCGAATTCGTCGTCGTAGTCGTCGTCATCTGCGTCGTCGTCGTCGTCGTCGTTGTCGTCGTCCGTAGGCCCGTCTTGCCCACATTTTCATCTCGGATCGTTCTCTGACGGCTCCAGGTGCCATAAACAAATCTTCTGGGCTCAGAACTGATGGAGCAACCCGTCCAAACTTGAACGACGAGCGACGAATTGCGAGGACGGCGGCGGAACAGCCCCCCTCCGGCGACGTAGTCCGGCCGCTCCCTGAACTCCAGCTTCCTGGCGGTCTCGAGGTACCTCTTGAAGGCGTCGGGGAAGCCTCCGCGGCAGTGGGAAGTTCGATGGAACCGAAGAGCTCTGAAGCTGTGACTGCGCAGCTCTGTGCTCTGCCTGTCTCTAGAGCGTGTCGAACAACTCCTGGATTCGAGCCTCGGCGGCTAGACGCAACGCGCAAAACAGGTACATGCGTACACGCTTGAGGCAGAGGCGTGCTCAAGTGCACACCTGTCCTCCAGATCCTGTCCCCGGGCATCGCGGCCGACTGGGCGGAGGGCCAGGCCCAGCATCGCATGCCCGTCCCCAGCAAGGCGCGCCGCAAGCCGCGGGCCTCCCCCCGCAAGTGAGCGCGGCGCTCCTCCTCCTCCTCCTCCTCCTCCTCTCCTCCTCTCCTCCTCCTCTCTCCTCCTCCTCCTCCTCCTCCTCATCTTGATGCTCCTCCTCCCCCTCCTCTCCTTCTCTCCTCCTCCTCCTCCTCTCCTCCTCCTCCTCCTCCTCCTCCCTTCTCCCTCCCCCCCTCCTCCCCCTCCTCCTCCTCCCTCCTCCTCCTCCTCCTTTCTCCAGCGCGGTGCACGCAGGTAGCTGCGGCGAGCGCCCACACCGGTGCGAAAAACCACCCTGGCAGGGCAAAATTCGGGACCGCCAAAAAACCCGGCGGGGGAGATCGTGTTCAAAGCATAGGAAGGCACCAACCATACACCAACACCGATCCTGGCCAGGATCACCCTGGGCCCAGGATCGGTGTATACGCCCTCCTGCCTTGCGCAAGAAGGCATGTACACCGATCCTGGGCCCAGGGTGATCCTGGCCAGGATCGGTGTTGGTGTATAGTTGGTGCCCTCCGAAAACATAGGTTTTGCACACTCTCCCCCCCTCGGTCAAAACAAGGAAGGGGGGAAATTCTGTACAAAAGTGCCGTTCTGTACAGAATCTCCCCCCGTCCGGTTGCTGTGGCGCCGTGGGCATGTCCTCTCGTAGCATTCTGCGTGTTCCAACTGCCACGTGTCTCGCTCCCACTCCCCCTCCCCCTGCACCGTCATGCGCGCAGACGTTGGCGAGCACGCTGCCCACTCAGCTTTGCAGGCCATGCCGAGAGATGCAGCAACTTTCTCGCTCGAGGCGTGCGCGAGGGGCGCGGTGGCGTGCCAGCGAGTTCTTGTCATGACAAGCGTGCGGGATGCGTAGCTTCGCCTTCGGGGCCACCCCGGCGGCCGAGCACCCCGGAGGCTCGCGGGCAGGCCCGAGCCAGGCTCTCCCTGGCCCGTGCTTGCTGCGAAGGGCTCTCACTCCTCCTCCTCGTCCTCCTCCTCCTTCCTCCTCCTCGTCTTCCTCCACCTCCTCCTCCTCCTCCTCCTCCTCCTCCTCCCTTCTCCTCCTCCTCCTCCTCCTCCTCCTCAGGATTGTTTTGTCACGGCGAAGGCGTGCAGCGGTGAGGCGCGTGGTGGATGCCGTTGGATCCTGGGGTGGTCTGGTGTGTCCCCGGACAGCGGTAGTCTCACCTGACGCTGAGATCAGGGTGGTTGGAGCCTCCACACTGATAGCACAGCAGCCAAGAGCAACATCAAGATGCTCCAATGCAGTAAAATGGGAGACGCGACCTTCAAAGCCGGTCGATGTTTATGGGTTATCGATCCATGGATTTGGCGCGCGGTCGCCAAACCCATGGATCGGGGGAGGTGCCCTCCCCCAAATGCGGCCAGTGCAGCCTCGCTCGGCGGCGGAAGTCCGCGATTTTCCCATGGAAACTGGACCCGCCGCTACTCCACGCCCCCTTGATCCATGTTTGCGATCGCCTGAGATCTGGGAGCGGGGGCCACCAACGTGAAGGCATTGGGCATCCCGGGGGCGGCGGGAAGCGATCTGCCTCATCGCCAGCGCAGCGCCTCTCGAGCGAAGTCCCGCCGCGGGGGCCCTCGGGTGGGTGCCCTTGAGCGGGGGAGCGACTGAGGGTGGGAAGCGGGGGCTCCTCCTCCTCCTCCTCCTCCTCCTCCTCCCCTCCACTCTCCTCTCCTCCTCCTCCTCCTCCTCCTCCTCCTCCTCCTCCTCCCTCCTCCTCCTCCTCCTCCTCTCCTCCCTCCTCCTCCCCTCCTCCTCCTTCTTCTCCTCCTCCTCCTCCACCTCCTCCTCCTCCTCCTCTTCCTCCCTCCTCCTCCTCCTCTTCCTCCTCCTCCTCCTCCTCCACCTCCTCCTCCTGAGGAACTGACCCTAAGACGATTGCACGACGATGGCATAAAGTCGGACGAGGACAAGTCGGAAATCTCTGCATAGTTTGCCGTTCTCCAGCATACAGCGGGCCCCGCGGCCACTCCGAAACGCTCCGAGGGCGTTCTGGAACGCCCTGGGCGACTTATCCTCGTCTTAGGCCTGCCTGGCGATGCTCAGACCGTTTCAAGATGCAGGCCCCAAATCTCTCGAACCCCTTCCCGGGGGCAGACTGTCTGTCCTGGACCGGTTTTCGTGACGGCCCCAGAGCCTGGAGACGGCCCCGAGAGGCCGCAAGCAAGGGCCAAACACAGCTCTTTGCTTCCGAGAGGTTGAAACCAGGGGAACAGATGGGAAGGAGTGCTGGCGCACATGCCATCGCGGGAGGCGTGTGCGCGTAGGGTGACTGGGCGGGGGCCGTGGCCGTGGCCGGCTGTATCCCTCCAGCCCTCCGGCTCAAAACGAGTCGAAATGAATACCGCGGTCGAGCTGCTGCCACAAGGAGCGCTGTGCAGGGGGAGGGAGCCCTGCGCGGACCCCCGGAGCGCCGCCGTGCACGCGAGGACCCAGGGTGCAGCGAGGCCCCTCCGCACGCGGACTGCTCCTCAGTTCAGCGTCTCGTCCTCCTCCTCCTCCTCCTCCTCCTCCTCCTTCCTCCCCCTCCCCCTCCCCCTCCCTCCTCCTCCTCTCCTCCTCCTCCTCCTCACCTCCTCCTAACAATACTCATATGACAGAGGCCCCTTTCTTATCGCATAGCATAGCAAACGATAGGCCAAATCCTGTGACTGTCAACGGAGGGTCAAGGTCCTCTGGGACACCCTGTTTTGTGGATCAGATGCGGACATAGGGGGGGGATGGGTGAAGGGGGTCGGTCAGATGTGGCGCGAGCGCACCTAGCTTGACGCTCCCCCTCCTCCTCCTCTTCCTCCTCCTCCTCCTCCTCCTCCTCCTCCTCTTCCTCCGCCTCCTCCTCCTCCTTCTCCTCCTCCTCCCCTCTCCCCCTCCCTCCCTCCCTCCCTGCTCTAGCATCGAGGATCCAGGCTTTGAGAGCATTTGAGGTCTAGGGAAGGGGTGGGAGCAAGAAGGGCGGGAGTAATGGCGCGCGTAACATCGTGGGACGGTTGTGTGGGTAAGGTAGCTGGGGCGTTGCCGTGGTCGGTCGGCTGTAGCCCCCCATCGCCCTCCGCATCCCCCCTCTCCCCTCCCCCCTCCATCCTCACCCCTCCTTCTCCCTCATCATCCTCGCCCCCCTCCCCCCCGTCCTGCTCCTCCTTCCTGCTCCTCCCCTTTCCTCCTCCTCCTCCTCCTCCTCCTCCTCCTCCTCCTTCTCCTTCAAGCTCCTTCAAGCTGCGGAACGTCTGCCTCCAGATGAAACACGACGCCCAGGGTTAAAAAGGGGGGGTGAATTAAGAGATGGTGAGGCGAAAGCTCCTGCCCACCACCCGGTTGGTGGAAGGATCCTTCCCCTCCTTGAACAGCCTCAGGGTCTTCTCTCCGTCCTTGTTACGGGGGTTCCCACGGCAGGGACCTCCGAGCAAGCGGAGCCTGGAACTCCCGAAGGCTGCACACATAGAGCACCACACTAGGGAGGAGCCCATGAGCCAGAGCCGATGAGACTTGTCGGCCAGGCGGGCCAATCGTGGGAGGCCCGTGCATGGCATAGCACACATAGCACGCTCAGACAGACCACGACCTCCGCAGCGGGTGCCAATGAAAGCTCGAGAAGATCGGCTCACTCGCTGCAGAGCGTGGCCTTGACGGTCTGGGACGAGCTGGAGGGCGTTGTACGTCGGGCGGCGGGGCTTCTTTACCCGCTGGACGTCAGGAAACTTGAACTGAGACAAATGATTACCAAAGGCGCCAATGAGTTTGCAAACGGAACGGACCGAATCGCGGCTATCTTTGCGCCTGCGCACAAGTTCAGGATTCGAAACATGCGCCTTGGCACCTTGCTGAACAAGCTTGTCAGCGAGCGTGTGGCCAGACCATGCCCAGAACGGCGCCTTGGAGGTTCGGGAGCACGCCTGCCAGGAAAGGTGGGCCTTGATTTTACGGAGCTCGATGTTCTCGAGTCCGAAGTCGGTGGCCAGAAAAAAAACACCTCGTCCCACAACTCAGCGAAAGCGACATGGGAGCGGTCCGCGTTGGGGCCAGCTGTCCACATGTCAACGACAGCTTGATAGTCCGAGTGAATGATAAGGAGGCCAGGGGCAGCAAGACGGATGGCCATGACGATGGCATAAATCTCCCCCCCCCCCCCCGCTTCGTTGAAGGGGGTGGGGGAGGGGCCCGAAGACACTGCCGTCAGAGCCCCCTACTTCTTGCATACCAACAACAGCCCAGCCAGCTCTGGCCGAAAACGGGTTCCCTTGGTCCAGACCCGACCCGTCAATTCAAAGCCGAGGGCCAAGGAGGCCCGAGGAAGGGCGGAGGTGCCAGAGCCTGGAACGGGCCATGGACAGGGGGGGCCATTCGGCCCCAGGGTCGGGTCCAAGGGCCCTAGCGTACAACAAATCCTGCTCGGGTCGACCTACTCCTTCTCGAACGACATCGGCCAAATCGAGATCTCGACGGAAGAGGTGGAAGCCTGGGCGCTCGTAGAGCCCGTGCTTGGGGGCCCCATGGGCCTGGCCACAGCGGAGGCAGTGGGGGTTCAGCACACGGCGGTCAGTGAACAACTGCGACTGGCACGGGTACCCTCCTGCAACAACTCCGCTCAGGAAGGTGGTGGCGTAGACGTTATCTTTGCTTCGAAAGGCCTGCAGCTCCTCTCGGACAACTGAGATGAGAAGCGGGCATAACTGGCCAGCCGCGTTCGGGATGGATACATGACGCAGCAAC